GCACGAAGTGGCCTACAGTTGGCTCCGGGCATCCAAAATGTGGCCCGGGAATGGAGTTCTGGGAACTCGAAGAGCACGAAGTGGCCTACAGTTGGCTCCGGGCATTCAGAATGTGGCCCGGGAATGGAGTTCTGGGAAGTCGAAGAGCACGAAGTGTGTGACTGTTGGCTTAAAATGAGTTTTGCGGCACCCTGTCCGGCACCCGCCCAGACCCCCCTGTGGAGTGATCTGTGAGCTCTTTTGAGTCAACTAGAAACCTATCAGTCTTCGCTGTTAGGTAATGAAAGCATTCCCCTTAAGATTCAGACGAAAATCCAGTTGTAGAATTCTGCTGTTCTCGCAGTCGTAGTCGCATTCGCGATGACAGTCGCAGCGGCAACGGCAGTCGCAGTCACAGCCTCAGCCTCAGCCTGCCTCAGCCTCAGCCTGCCTCAGCCTCAGCCTGCCTCAGCCTCAGCCTCAGCCTGCTTCAGCCTCAGCCTCAGTCTGCCTTCAGCCTCGGCCTCAGCCTCAGCCTGCCTCAGCCTCAGCCTGCATCAGCCTCAGCCTCAGCCTCAGCCTGCCTCAGCATCAGCCTGCTCAGCCTCAGCCTCAGCCTGCCTCAGCCTCAGCCTCAGTCTGCTTCAGCCTCAGCCTCAGTCTGCCTTCAGCCTCGGCCTCAGCCTCAGCCTGCCTCAGCCTGCCTCAGCCTGCAGCATCAGCCTGCCTCAGCATTCAAAATGTGGCCCAGGAATGGAATTCTGGGAACTAGAAGAACACGAAGTGGCCTACAGTTGGCTCCGGGCATTCAAAATCATGCCCAGGAATGGAGTTCTGGGAACTTGAAGAGCACGAAGTGGCCTACAGTTGGCTCCAGGCATACAAAATGTGGCCCGGGAATGGAGTTCTGGGGAATCGAAGAGCACGAAGTGGCCTACAGTTGGCTCCGGGCATTCAAAATGTGGCCCGGGAATGGAGTTCTGGGGAATCGAAAAGCACGAAGTGGCCTACAGTTGGCTCCGGGCATTCAAATGTGGCCCGGGAATGGAGTTCTGGATCGAAGAGCACGAAGTGGCCTACAGTTGGCTCCGGGCATCCAAAATGTGGCCCGGGAATGGAGTTCTGGGAAGTCGAAGAGCACGAAGTGGCCTACAGTTGGCTCCGGGCCTATTGGCAAAATGTGGCCCGGGAATGGAGTTCTGGGAACTCGAAGAGCACGAAGTGGCCTACAGTTGGCTCCGGGCATTCAAAATGTGGCCCGGGAATGGAGTTCTGGGAAGTCGAAGAGCACGAAGTGGCCTACAGTTGGCTCCGGGCATTCAGAATGTGGCCCGGGAATGGAGTTCTGGGAGGTCGAAGAGCACGAAGTGTGTGACTGTTTGCTTAAAACGACTTCTGCGGCACCCTGTCCGGCACCCGCCCAGACCCCCCTGTGGAGTCATCTGCTGCTCTCTTTTGAGACCACTAGAAACCTATCAGTCTTCGCTGTTAGGTAAAAATCTGTCTTCCCTGACCGCGACGACGTACTGTGACAAGACCGCCTCCATCCAGTAGGGCAGGACAAAGTCCACCTGCAGCACCACGCCCGCGAGCATTGCGGAAAAGAACCAGGGGGTACTTGAGGCGGTGACTCCATTCACCAGACTTCCAGCAACCAAAACGCGAATGAACATGACAGAAGGTAACCTGAGGCCACCTGAAACCAGCCACACGGCATCGGGCTATGCTTGTTCATCCACGAGGACGAGGGAGAACCCAAATGTATGTCACCACTTGCATAGAAGCAACGGGCGCCCAGCCCACCTCGCAGACCGCCTAAACACGCCAGCGGAGCCCAGCAACTGTTGAATCATGTCCCTCTGAAGCCAAATCCCAAAAACCAACCAAGCGGACACATTGAGGTACGCCCAAAGAGGGATCGGCCAGTGCTAGAGCAGTACCTTCGTGGCTCTTTCCAATTACCTTTGGACGGAAGTCGAACAAGATGTTGAGGAAGTCACCAGAACATCAACCCGACACACCACATTGAGAATCCCAAGAACAATGCAACCATCTCCAGAAGCAGTGAACACAACACTGTAGCAGGCGCACGTTGCAAACACCACACAGCAAAATGAGGTAACCGCACCAAACAATGCCAAAGCAATGTATGCGTTCCACGCTCTGGTTGCCAGCCTGCTTAGCAGTACGCCTTTCTTCGCCACCAGGAAAGGGAGGCCCCGACAGTGCGCCACTGGGCCCCCCAAAGCGCCAGGAGAAGGCGAAGGGATCGTTCAAGGCATCCCGAGGAAGCCAACTGATTCCCACGGAGACGCCTCGGGCCGATGCTTGGGAAGGGAAGAAGGAGGGAGGAATGAAGAGGAAGACAGAAGGAGGGACCCCGACTGGCGGGCCTTCGGCCCGCCACAGCCCGCCAGTGCGGCGCATAGCGCCCTGGCGATGCCGACCACGACGGCCACTGCGGCGACGAGCACGAAGCCGTCGACCCTGCCGAGCCGCCAGGCCCGCCCGAAGGGCGGGCCTTTTGCCCTTGGGCTCGTGCACTGCACGCGCTGACAATGCAAGTCACTGCACGTTTGTTGCAGGGGTGACCTGGCTGTCGTTGGTCATCCTGCTCTCTCGACGTTGGTCATCCTCCACCTCCCTCGCCCTTCATCAGTGCCTCCTCCCTTTCCTTCTCCTCCGTGCCTCCTCCTCATCGCCCTCCTCCTCCTCCTCCTCCTCCTCCTACTGCTCCTCCTCCCCCTTCGCCCCTTGCCTCCTCCTTCAACATCCTTGCCCCATCCTCCCCCCCCCTCCTCCCTCCTACCTCTTCCATGTCTCTTCCATGTCTCCTCCTCCTCCTCCTCCTCCTCCTCCTCCGCCGCGTCCTCCTATTCCTCCTTCTTTTCCTCGTCCTCCCTGCCTCCTCCCCCTCCTCCCCCACCATCCTTCTCCGTATTAACAAGTTCTCCTCGTCAAAACACCATACGAATATGTATTGCTGGTTGGCCGTGCCCACTGTGTTGCCCTGAAGATTGGGAAGAATTATCGACGCCGCTGTGCCCGCAGAGGCGAGGGCGGGGGACACGAGGGTTTGGGGCCCCTCCCGGGCCCCAAATCTGGCCGAAATCGGCGCGTGACTCCAAAACGCCAAACACGGCACCCCCAACACGATGAATATCGATCCACACACATGATCACTGATGGATGGTGGGTAGCGTTCAACACGTGGTCCCCGGCATAGCGCTGCGCGTATCCGTTTTGCAGGTTGACAAGAGTAAATACACGGGTGAAAAGACGAGCAGAAAGTCTCGCCAGCGCGCGGCGAACTTTCGTCTTAAAAGCTTCCAGCAGCTACACGGGTGGAGGGTGGGCGTGGAGCACACTCATCTTAAACATCCCCAACAGATGCACGGATGGCGGAGGGCCCATTTTCACGATGTGGCTCTCACCACAGCGCCACTTGCATCCGCCCTAAGCCCGTCCAACAATTACAAGGGTCAGGGACGAGTCCTGTTCAAGGAAATTATCTCACTTGAGAATTCCTCTGGTCGTGAAACCAGAAGTGCAACATGTACGACCACTGCGTGCACGGATGGACGCTGGTCTCGTTTGAACGAGCGGCTCCCGCTGGACAATTCCTTGAGCTGCCTGGCCCTGTCCCTTGACACTTCTCATGGCTGAAAGACGGAAGGCGGGTCATGATATAAATGGGGTTCTCGCCCGAATGGCAGGCCCATGGCGCGCTCGTTCCTTGAAGCGACGCATACTGTACAGTAGTCATCCATGCCTCCTCCTCCTTATCATCATCATCATCATCATCATCATCATCATCATCATCATCATCATCATCATCATCATCATCATCATCATCATCATCATCATCATCATTATCATCATCATCATCAGCATCATCAGCATCATCAACATCATCAGCATCATCATCATCGTCCTGAACCTCCTCATCCTCCTCATCCTCCTCCTCATCCACCTCCTCCGCCGCCTCACCCTCCTCCTCATCAGTTTCCCCTCCTTCAACCGACCCCCTGCTCCGTTTCACTGTCCTCCTCCCGCCTCCTCCTCCTCCTCGTCCTTCTCATCCTCCTCATTCTGCCCACCCGCCTCCTTCACATCCACCTCCGTCACATTTCCCATCCTCCTCCCCCTCCCCCACCTTGATAATCCTTCTCACCCTCCCACTCCTCCGACTCCTCTTGGCCTCATGATCCTGCTCCTGCTCCTCCTTACGCTCTTCCTCCTGAAGCATCAGCTTGGAGGGAGTGGCGGAAGAGCGCCAGCGCATCGAATGGGGTCTGCGAGGTCCAGGACCTCAGCACGAACCTCCCTCTCCCCCCCCGCCGATCAGGCGCTGAGCTGGGCAGGAGCGACCCCATGGAAGGCCCTGGCCGCCCGCGACAACAATCGCATCCTACAGAGAGGCTCTGAACAATATCCGGTGCACCTCTCGATAGACAAACGCGGTACCACGCAGACAAGCGGGTCGCTCCTAAGGGGGAGACAGCAACAAGCAATGACTTGCGGCAAGATGCCCAGAAGCCACGTATGTTTCGCCTTGCTTCTTCTGTGCGCACCCTCCTCTTCCATCCCTTTCCGTATTGGATAACTCCTCGTCTGACCACCAGACGTGTCAATAGAGCGGTCTGGCCGTTTCGCCTGGTACTTCCGCACAGCGCATGGGAGCCTGAACTTTCCCACAGCTCCAAAGCTGGAATGTGGGTTGCTTCCAAAATAGAGCTGTGGTCTCGACGCCGCGCTCATTCGTCTTAAAAGCTTGCAACGTTTCCAATGATGGAGGGTGCCCTTTTCAAAATGGGGCTCTCGCCGTAGCGCTGCGAACGTGTGCCATAAAGCTTGCAACAACTGCAAGCATGGAGAGCGGGTGGTTTTCGAAATAGAGCTGTCGTCTGAGCACCGCGCCCATTCGGCATAACAAGGATGGAGGGCGACTCCAATTCAAAATAGAGCTCCCGCCTTAGTGCCGCACCCATTCGTCTTTGAATATTGCAAGTGCTACGGGGATGGAGGTCGGGTGCTTTCCAACATGGACCCTCGCTTGAGACTTGCAGATGTAGCAGGCACACAGATGGAGGCCGGCTCCTTTTCCAAAAGGGGCTCTCCCTTGAGATATCCTCGGAGTGCATGAGCAGACGTGTCAACTTTTGCAGCAGTTACTCAGATGGGGGGTATTCTCAAAACGGGGATATCGGTGGACACCTCGTTGAACTGTATGATAATCCCCGCTCGCATTCCTGAATGCCAGCTAGAAGGATGAAATGCAGCTCATGTTCGAAACGGGGCTCTCGCCTGGAAGCTAGGCCCATCGGATGCTGGTTTTAAAAGGGGTGCTTCTTGCAGTGAAAAGGAATCCGTGTAGGGACTTATGGGGAGCGTACTCAAGACGGGATGGTGTATTGCAGCATCTGTGATGCATCGATGCATCTTGGGTTGAAGCTGGTCCTCCCCCTCATCCCCCTCCTCCACCTCCGTCATCTCCTTCTCCACATCCTCCTCCAGCGCCCCCTCTTCATTCATACCCGTCCTGCTCCCCTGTTTCTGCCACCGCCGCATTCTTCTCCTGTCATTCGCACCTGCATCCCATCATGATCCTCACGTCTCCTCCTCATCCTTCTCAGCACCATTAGCAATGACATCAGCAACAACAACGACAACAACAACCATCAGTTTAAGACTGATCGCTCTTATCTGCTCGCGTGTTACTCAACTCGTATGCATCCCAAACCCTCGATAATGACCCACCCTCTTCGTCCTTCGTCGTCGATCGTGCCCCCCTTTGGAGTATATCTTCCTTACCTGCCGCGTATAGTTGGCGCAGTCACCAAAAACAGGCGAAGGGAGGGAGGGAAGGGACAAGGCGGAGGGAGGAGGATGGCGCACGAGAGAAATTGGCAAGGGGGGGGGGGGTCGGAGCAGGACAAGCGCCGGCCAGGCGGACCCTAACGCGCGGGTTGGGTGGGCGGGCCCAGACGGCCATGTCGAGCGAGCGGGTCGCTGAAGCGTCAGTCCTGCATGGATCGCGAGGAAGCCTCGAGCGACAGCGCGATTCTCAATAAGATAATAAAGGAAATCAGAGCGGGAGCGTGGTTCCTGAGTGTCGAGGTCGCGGCGTCGCGCTACATCCTGCGTAGGAGATTAGGGGCGAGATCGCAGTGAGACGGAGAGGCCCCCACCGGGAAATCGGTTTCAGTTTCGTGTCGCGCGTGCGGGCAAGGCGAAGCTGCGTGGGCACCCTGGCTAGGGCGAAACCAGACTCGATGTCTCTCCTCCCCCTGGTTGGCCGGCTGTGGCCGGGGGGGGTCCCGCCGGTGCTCCGTGGTGCTCCGTGGTGTCCCGTGGCGTCCTGTGGCGCGGTGTCCCGCGGTGCCCCGTCGTGCCCCGCGGAGGTCGATGGTGGGATCAATCGTGAGACCGATTGCGCGATCGATTGAGTGAGAACGATAGCGGGATCGGTAGTGAGATCGATAGTGAGACCGGTAGGCCAATCGATAGTGATATTGATAGTGAAATCGAAAGTGAGGGATAGTGAGACCGATCGATTGAGGGAGATCAATAGCGAGTTCGATGGTGAGACCGATTGGTAGATGGAGAGAGCGAGAGAGAGAGAGAGATTATGTGGTGGACTGGTACACTGACAGTGAGATCCATAGTGACTGCGAGATCGATGAATAGTGGGATCGAAAATCACATCGAAAGTCAGATCGATTGTGAGATCGATTCTGAAATCGAAATTGAGATAGACTTTGCGGTCGATAAATCAAGAGACCGATCGGTGTTCCGTGGTATCCCGTGGTGCCTCGTAGTGCCCTGCGACCTTGTATGTACTTGATGTGCTATTCTACGTGGAGGACCGCCCGGGCAAAGGAATGCCACCTGGTTCCGCCCGGGTGCTTTTTGATTGGTGTCCCGAGTGATAGATCGATTGCCAAACAGATCAAATCCCCCGCCACCCTCCTTGTCACCCGAAGGGTGGACGTATAGGTGTACTTGCGAAGAAGTCCCGAGCGAGTAAGAGCGCGACCTCGAATAAACGGTGAGGAAGAATATCGGGCGGGTGCCTTTGCTGGGGTAGCTCGGGGGCCAGGGGCCCAGCCTGAGGCTCAAGACCTTCCCTTGCAAAAAAAATGGTGCGAGCCCCAGGAGGAGCTCTTCACCTGAAGCAGGAAAGCACAAGGTGCACCAGAGGGGGTCAAAAATGATGACTTTCAGAAATGAGAACCCAATCATCTTAAAACGGTTTGTTCTGACATGCTCGCGTGTCGTTCAATATGCATCCCCCATGCAATCGATAGCTGCCCTCTTCGTATTTGATCGTACTTCCCCTGGGGGTAGAATACTTTCCTTCCCCGCCACGTGCAAGTAGTGCAGCCCTGGAATCAGGATGATAAAATTGAAAAGGGAGAAAGCTAGGAGGAAGGGGGTGGAGGAAGGGAGGGAGGGAAGGGTGCAAGAGGGAGGGAGGGAGAAGATGAAGGACGAGAGGGCTTAGCAAAGGGGGCTAGC